TTACCGTCGTCTAGAGGAGACGTCTTCGCAGCAATATTTTCCCTCCTGCGCATTCAGTCGCCGACGCGACAGCGTTTACGGGGCCGTTCCAGTTGGGAAGACATTCGATTCATCGGGCCAGTTCAGCAACAGGGCCGTGGACACACAGGGGCAGAGGACAGACATTGTTAGTGGACAAGAAATATGCAGTGGCAAGTGGCGAGTGCCGCATGGATGTCAAGTTGTCATGCACAATTCAGCTACATTGTATTACTTACAGTCCAGCTAGGCCTGTCATTGCTCGCTCGTCCTGGTTCCTCCTCGTTCGTCTTCCTGCACGTCTGCATTTCTCCTTCCCCACGTTGGCTTTGCGGTACGGGGGTGCCGGAAGGAATTCCCACCATGTATGCATGTACATGAAGTCCCACCATGTCTCCATGTACATGTTCACGGCCACTTCAGCAGTTGTATAGTACCGGAAGGAGTTCCCACGATGTCTCCAAAGGCCTAGAGCGGACGTCTTTGCAGCAATTCTTTTCGCCCTGCGCATTCAGTCCGCCGACGATGTCTCCAAAGGCCTAGAGGGGACGTCTTGGCAGCAATTCTTTTCACTCTGCACATTCACTCCGCCGACACGACAGCGTTTACCATGGTTTACGGGGCCGTTCCAGGTGCAAAAGGTCCACATCAGCAGTTCTCAACTATTTCGCGTACGGAATAGTCGCCGCGACAGCGTTAAAGGGGTCGTTCCAGGTGCAAAAGGCGGTAGGCATCCATCAATGGCACTTTGCAGTACGGGGTACGGAAAGGGGCCTCCTCGTTTGACTTCGTCGACTTCTGCAGTTCTCCTTCTCGTCAGGGGTACCGAAAGGGGCCTCCTCGCAGTTGTCTTTGCCGTCAGGTCCACGTCATGCAGTTCTCAACTATTTCGCGTGCGGGATAGTCGTCTTTGTCGTACGCGACATCGGCGTTTACCGAGTGGCATTGGCACAAAGCAGACCGTTGACGGGGTCACGTGTCAAAAAAGAATCAACAATGTGTCGACTAAGTGTCGACCACGTGTGTAGCGGTACACTCAGCGGCACACTTATTCTCGTGCCATTCTCGTGTCACAAAACTGGAACATCGAGTACCAGTTTGGAAAGGCTTCAGACAGGAAGCCTTTCCAATATAAGGGTAGGTTGACTGTACATGTAAGGGTAGGTTGACTGTACATATAAGGGTAGGTTGACTGTACATGTAAGGGTAGGTTGACTGTACATATAAGGGTAGGTTGACTGTACATGTACATGTACATAATCATTGTACATGTACGTGTACAATGATTATGTGTTTGTTTTCTTTCCCTTTTTTCAACCTTTTCAGCTGTATTGTATTTGTATTTTGTATTTGTATTGTATTTATTAAAAAGGATTCTCCAAAAGGAAATGGATGCTTATCACGGAAGTCTCCCACATAGATATCGCAAGAAAAATGGGGAAATGGGGGAGAGGAGAGTGGAAGATGAAGCATGGGAAGAAGGGAAACAAGTACCTAAATATCGAGGTATAAAAGCAGGAAAGAAATCGACGAGGGAAGAAATCACCTCTGCAGATAATAGCGGGACATTTAGATGAAAAAAACCCCAGCAAGGATTAATTTCAAGGAAAAAAAATTTCTCAAACGGAAAAGTTCGGAATTCCAGTCAGAGAATATCTATGCTGTGAGTGATGAGCCTTTAGAGCAATGCGAAAATTGACAAAGGACTGAACGCAGCGGATGTGTTCTGGAAGTTTGTTCCATTCCACAGATAAACTGAAGAGAGGGGATTTAAGGAAATGGGCGCCAGAACGAGGTAAAACTATAGAGGACGGGTGACGACAACTAAGGGATACATTGAATTTGAAACGAATTAGCAAAGACGGAAACTGGTAAAAGACATGACGAAAATACAGCAAGGACAGAATCTGCCGACGCCACTTCAGGGATGACCAGTCACAAGTACAATTTTAAAAGAATCTGCTTCGGGGTTTCCCTGTCATTTGCCCTGATCATGCCTCATTCGTGCTTCCCATGCACAGCATAGTACGTTTCCGCTTATATGTATTTTCTTCGTCAACACACGCGTACACGCTAGCTGTATTACTTTGTTCTTGTCCGTACAACTTAGGCTGTACCGTGTACAATACATACATGATTGTACATGACTGTATGAATCCTCCCACGGACCTACAATGTACAATGCATTTTGTATTGTACAGTAGATGTAGTCAGTACGCACTGACAGTCTGATACACTACAATCTAAAATAATGTCATGTAGATCGACAGGTTCTACAATGACGTACCTGGACATGACACACACACACACACACACACACAATCATCAGTCATGTACTGTAGCGGACATGGAAATCCAGTCGATTGACCGGGGCCGGCGCCCTCAGCGCTGCGTGCAGTGCACTTGCTGATCCGATATCGCGCGATATAATACGACCAGCGCGCTGCATGCAGCGCATAAATGCATGTATGTACCGCTTTTATCCACGGCTGCATGGCCAGCTCTCTGGGGCCATTAGACGTGCGACCGGATTTCAATGTCCACGACAGTACAACGTCCTTTGAAAAGATGGCCGAGGGGACATGTCGACAGCAAGCTTGCGGATGATGTCAAGCAATCTGTCCCTGCCAATCCCCTTTGTTTGCGCGAGGTGTCACCACTAGTAGCACAGCGCAGCACCACGCGCCCCAACACGACTGTATGCCACGATGCTGCTGTGAGTGTGGTGCTGCTGTGAATCATATACGTATGCTGCTATGATGCTGCTATGATGCTGCTATGATGCTGCTATGATGCTGCTATGATGCTGCTATGATGCTGCTATGATGCTGCTATGATGCTGCTATGATGCTGCTATGATGCTGCTATGATGCTGCTATGATGCTGCTATGATGCTGCTATGATGCTGCTATGATGCTGCTATGATGATGACGAATGCTGCTGACAATCACTCATCTCAGAGTCATCTGGAGATGTTATTACGGAGGATTAGCAAGACGAAGGCCGCTTTCGTGTTCACGAGCACTACAATGTGGTACAGTGCACTGTATCATTTTCCAATATTATTGACTCTCATAGATGTTTGCTGTGCCTTTAGCAGTAAAATAATCCTGCATACATCGACATGTATTTCTATTGGGCGCTTTCGATTACACGCATTTCGGTCACTTCTAGAATTAGTTATTGTTGATGCACAGTTCGATTACACAAAAAAAGTGACAAATTCCGTCGTTAGAATTGATTTTATCCAATTCCGTCGAATCCGTCAATTGTTGTTGTTGTTGTTCTTGTTGTTTTTATTCTGAAGAGAGGGCGGAACTAATTCTGGCGCCAGAATTGCACAGTCAGTGTGTTACCACTGGTTACCGGTCTGGTCATGACTCGATCAAGCGCGCGAAGAGCCTCGCTGGCCGGCCGGCGTGTGTGTGCGCGATGCTGGGTCCACGTGCGCCGCGCGATCGATCGCGAGGGTGTAACGTTACGTGATCTCTTTTTACGATTCATCAATTTCGTTTGTGACATGACATGAATAAAATGCGTTGTGAATTCCAGTCGTTCGTTTACAAGGCCGGAATCCGCTCATTCTGGTCATTCCGGAATTTTAAAAAACAGTTCCAGAATTGTGTAAACGTGTAATCGAAAGCGCCCATTGACTGCGTATACAAAGTGTTCCGAGCACAACACTGAAAGATGTCGCAGCTAACTGCGGCCCTCTTCTCGCCAGATAGCCAGGATTCAAGAGTGTGGAATGCCAGCATCATCAGGGAACGCATGGAAAGACAAGTGGGGTTTCTTAGACTAGGGATGACGGTTGCGGCAAACAAGAACCCAACAGTGCCTGTGGTCCTCGGGAAGCATTTCGGAACTTTTTTCTTCAGAACTAAACTTCAAGTGAAAAAAGGCTGGTAAGTACCTGTACATTGTGTGTACATGTACAATTCATATCCATGTACATATGCACACATGTATAGAGATACAGAGAGATACCATATACACACATGTACATGTACATACATGTACATGTGTGTACATGTGTGTACATGTACACACATGTACACACATGTACATGTGCACACATGTTCCTGTACATACATGTACATGTGCACACATGTTCCTGTACATACATGTACATGTACAGGAACATCGCGTCGGGATCGTGAAAACACAGGAAGCTGTTACTTGATCACGTCCTGCAACAAACCATTTTGTATGCTAAGTCAGTAAGTGTGCAGTGCGTACACAGCATGCCCCGCGTCTCGACCCCTATCTCTCCGAGGCTCTCGCTTGTCGTGCAAGCCAAAGGCAAAGGGTCTATCTGGTCAAGACGACAAGAGCATTCCGTGGGGGTTGCCGAAAAAAATTGACTCATTTATGGCCAAAGGTAGGATTATCATCGTTTTCTGAATGGATCATGGACTAGACTGTGCATGCGTAGTAGTACAGCAGTTACAGCCTAGTAGTCAGTACTAGCTACTAGCACTAGTAGAGTAGTAGTTTTCTAGTGCCAGTAGTGGTATTCTATTCTACTACATGTGGTAGTAGTATTCTAGTAGATCTACATAATGTAGTGGTAGTAGTACATTGTACTGGTAGTACAGGTCTTTGTACATGACTGACATCCTCGCATCGCAAGACTGTTCTGCATCGTAGAAGGCTACATGACTTGTAGATTATCATAGTACAATCATTTACCTTGTAGCTGAGCAACTACGTAGGGTTACTTCGCTGGCTGTAGCTTCAATCTGCAGTCTGCAGTTCAGGATCCTGGCCGAAGTGGATCGATCGTCTGTTGCAGGCCGCGGCGGATGTGTTTGACCCCCTGCGTGGCTGCGTGCACGCGATACAGATCGTAGTTTGAGTCCCAAGTCAAGTGGCTCCAGTCTGTACATGGCGTGTGTCAAGGAGTCAGCGCTAACGGTGCGCATAGCCATAGATGTTATGTGTTTACACTCAGTACCGTGCCCATGCCATGCATGGGTTCCCCCATATGGCCATGTAATAATGAGCCTGATGATGAGGGGATTTTTGTATCTTCCTAGGCTAGATCCTCAGACTCAGCGCAGTAGATCTACGTTGGTCTACATGACTGTACTTCACAGTAGAGACGATCCACGACTGGAACGGAAGCTTTCCAGTTGCTGTCCTGTTTTGTTCGTCTAGCGCTGAAACTTGAAAGGACACAGTCCAACCCTGCTGTAGTATCTGTTGCAGTGTTGGTCTCTTGGCGCGAGCTGCTGGGGATTACGTTATCTTGAAGCCGGCGGAGCGCCTTTGTATCAGTTGCAAGGTAAGGTTCATCTCCACAGTAGAGTGTCAATACCTAGGCTGAAGGGCACAGCAAGTGTTCTTTCATTTCAGTCTAACCCCATCGCTAGTACTAGTGTTAGTTCGAATTCTCGTACGATGGCGATGGCGATTCCCCACGCTCTGAATGTGTGAACAGCGTGGCCGTTTGAGCGTGTGCCGGCCGGTCATTTGAAGCTTGACTGTCTGTGCTAGGTCGTGTTGCATGCAGCGCATGGCTGTGCATGAGAATGTGGCGCTAGCGCTACACAGCCTACAGTAATGGCAGTGTCATGTACAATGTAGGTACGTGACGTAAGTCGTTTGTCCAGCACTGGCGGGCCCCTGGAAAACCCATGGGCAGTGTGCCCCGCGTTGTCCATACCACGTCGTTTAATTAGTACAGTGCGACTTTGCGAAGTAAAATAAAGAATACAATAGAATACAATGTAAAAGACGGTGGGGGTGGTGAGAAGGAGAGCTCTGTGCCAGAACTTTGCAGCCTAGAGAGCATGTGTGGGCAGGCGTGTGTTTGCCGCCATATTGCCAAGTGTGTCTTTACCACCATATTTATCAACCTATAGAATACAAAAACACAATAACTTTGGCAAGTCCGGCCTCGGGGGCCATGCAAACAAGATCCAAGAGGATTGCCAGCATTGGTTTACTTGCGCGGCGGTTTTGGTGCACTTGGATTGTGCAGCTGGCAGGGTGATGGCAGAAGTTCGTCAGGTGCCACAGAAAGTGGAGACAGCTGCGTTTATCACTGTGCAGTATGCAGTGTGCCTTACCATTATAGATTCTTTTAATAAACTCTTCAAATCAAAGGTGGTTGGAGTTGAGAAGTGAAGTTTGCTAAATCAAAGGTGGTTGGAGTTGAGAAGTGAAGTTTGCTAAATCAAAGGTGGTTGGAGTTGAGAAGTGAAGTTTGCTAAATCAAAGGTGGTTGGAGTTGAGAAGTGAAGTTTTTGCTAAATCAAAGGTCCTGTGAACATATGTTTGTAACCTTGTTGTAAAATTGAACTCGGATAATGAGCCAGTATGAAATGTACTGACCTTGGATTATCTTGTTACATTCGTGGATCGATAGTTGCTTCATAACTCGTTTCCATGTATTTGCTTCTTCTATTTAACCTTGGTGTACATAAACTTAGTTTTTCACTACATTGTATCTTGTCTTTGAGCCCCCAAGCGGTCGCAAATCTTGCAGCAACCGAAATTTTGTTTTGCATGGTTCAGTGTGACAGTGTGTACAGGCTTCAGCAGTACAGGCCAAAGTGTGTGTTTAGCCCTGGGAGGCCGACATTTGAATGGGCCGAACATTTGTGGACGTGCAGTAGATGACTACATCCGTGCTACAGACATTGCGGAGTTTTCACTCTACAGTTTAAAAGACTATTCAGTGTGCGTTCTAGGATTTCAAACCATCTGGGTACACGTGTGCCTGGCAGAACCATTGCAACCGGGTCAGAGCCGGGTCAGAGCCGGGTCAGAGGCGGGTCAGAGCCGGGTCAGAGGCGGGTCAGAGCCGGGTCAGAGCCGGGTCAGAGCCGGGTCAGAGCCGGGTCAGAGCCGAGTCAGAGCCGGGTCAGAGCCGGGTCAGAGCCAGGTCAGAGCCGGATCCGTTCAAGTGCGGCTACTGCATGTACGTCAGCCAATGATCAGGGAGTTGTAAATATTTTTGGCCTCCCTGATGTATATTCAAATTGTACATGTACATTGTATTCCCAACCGGGTCACAGGCAACCCAGTGTTCCTTTTCTAAACGGGTCCAAGTACCCCAAAAACGGGTCACAGTACCCCACAACCGGGTCGCTGACCCCGCTGACCCGGCTCTGGAGCAGACTCTGCCGTTATGTATGAAAATCAGTACGTCGCACACACCGGGTAGTGAAGACACTAATCATATGTAACTCTATCTACGGATTTCTGTTGGAAAGCGTTTTCGTATGTTCCTTTCTCTGTAGGGCGTTTGAATTACTTTGTCAGGTTCCCGATTTTATCCATGGATGCAAACGTGAACCTTGGCCTTACTCTGTTGCCATGGAAATGGAGGACTGATAGAAGCAGTTTTTGATTGGTCCAGGAGTAACATAGCCTTGCACAATGAATGTATGATACGGCGGTGCTGCATAATAAGTCATTTGCCTTATTCGGTGTACAGTCAACTTCGCTAATACCGACTGCGGATATAACGACAATTCGCGAATAACGACACAATTTCCATGCCCAGAGCAAAGTCACATCCAACTGTAATACTGTAATGGGACTTCGGGTATAACGACACTTCGCGAATAAGGACACTTTTCTGATGCCCCGCCGAGTGTCCTTATAAGCCAAGTTCACTGTAACTGTAATTTAGGTAATTTAGGTAGAGAAGACATGCACCCATATATAGATTACACGTAAAAATAAAACGCTGGTGTAAGGAATCCATGGGCGCGTTTGGTTGGTACGACGTAGAACAGGATTCACCAGGACAGCGCGTTTGGTTGTTGTTGTTGTTGTTTGGCTTTATTTAAAGTGGAGTTCCAAAACAGGCCTAAACCTAATGACAATGGTCCCACTGATAATAAGAGAAAAGAAAATATAATAATAAGCGGACAAACAGAACCAAGAAGAAGATACAGCTGTAGTTAGATAACTAATATGAGCACGGCAGCAGGGGAAAAAAAGTCACAAGCACGGCAACCGGGAAGAAAGGAGTGAGTGAGTGAGAGAGAGAGAGAGAGAGAGAGAGAGAGAGAGAGAGAGAGAGAGAGAGAGAGAGAGAGAGAGAGAGAGAGAGAGAGAGAGAGAGAGAGAGAGAGAGAGAGAGAGAGAGAGAGAGAGAGAGAGAGAGAGAGAGGTAGTGAAGCAGATGAGTTCATCCTAGTTGACGGTACTGCCTAACAGAAAGGCCAGGCTTAGCGATTTGAAAGTGGAGCGCTTTCTTTCGAGGCGTGCTGTGTCTGGGAGCTGGTTCCACAGGATAGCTCCAGCATGGCTAATGCGCTTAGCTGAGGATGCAGTGGGGGAGACAGGAATGATGAGTAACTTGCTGTTCCCTCCTCGTGTTCGGAGAGAGGGACTACGGGTGAAAAAGCTTGCAAACAGAGTACTTGAAGATTTGTTCAGGCAGCGCCAAATGAATACAAGGATGTGCATGTGGGTGTATATGCTGAGGGTATGGGCATTCATGCGTTCAAGTAAGGGAGCCGTGTGAGTGCGAGGGGCTGCCCTGCACACCGAGCGAGCCGCACGTTTGAACAAACTATTTAGGCGCTTATCCTGATAAGACGATAAGAAAGGGGCATAGGCAGCAGATGCATAGTCAAATTCTGATAGTATAAAGGACCTGAAAAACTGAACACGGCAAGAAAAAGGCAAACATGCTGCACTTCGATTTAGTAGCCCAATCTTAGCGGCAACGCGGCGTGCAACATGGCTTGTCATGGTGTTCCAGCTCATGTCTGAGTCGAAATGTAGGCCAAGATACTTGGCCGTTTTCACAACAGGCAGCGTCTGCTGGTTGGGACTGCACTTGTTCTGGGTCGGCCAGAACATGTTCTGCTTGCTCCGGCCTCGAGGCCGGAGCAGACCGAGCAGTTTCACTTTTTCACAGCGAAACCTGGCGGGAACATCGATTTTGGTCCCAAATGATCACGTGCATACGCTTTTGGGTTGGACACGTCGTCCCGTACACAGTGACCATGATAACGCATACACATTTTGAAGAATGCACCAAGTTTGGCATATTTTTCACAAAACTGTGCTCTGTTTCTGGAGTAGCGTTTGGTTGACATTAGGCTGCTCCATGTGCACCAGCTGTTCGATCCTGTTCTAGATCGTACCAACCAAACGAACTCTATGTGAAGGGTAGGGTGGTCACCTAATTGTACATTACGCTTGAAACTTGACAGGTCCCTGACCCCGATATATGAGTGCATCGACAAGTACATAATTATAGAAAACTCATGCCCTAGCTAGCAGTAAACACATGCGCTGGTGGCCAATCAGCTGGGCTGGCAATGAGGTAACCAACTAGACCGACTCCGGTGGGTCTGCAATATTCCAGTATTGTCCGACACTAGGCCGATTAGAATCGATGGGCATCCGTGTAGGGAAAAATGTGTTTGAGCATTTCATTGACCGTATTTCCGGGATGTAAGCCGCACTGGAGTATTGTAAATATACAAAATTTCGGCCCTGCAAAATTTCGGCACTTCACGATTTTTGACATTTCGGCGGCAATTTATTTTTGGCGTGGGGTAGAGAGCATGGTATTGTGTGACAGATGCTGTGAAAAATTTCATCGGCGTATTAACCCTTTACTGTCCGCACATACAAGCATCGATCCAATGGGATCGATGGGGTAGGCATTTTGAAATTATCGTGACTTGCTCAAATCTAGGTCTTTTGGAGAGATCGAAATATGTACAATGTAGGTCGAAGAGAAAAGTCTCAGCTGTCGCCTCGAACAATCCCCGAAGCGATACGAAGAGCGGTTGCTGAGTTATCGCACTCGTAATTCAGGTCCCGGGAAATGCGCGTTCAGAGCGCGACGCGCATGTCGACGGCTGGGATTTTCCCTGTTTACGTCACCTGTTGGCAAGGCTACACCGATTCAAATTCAAAAGTAGGTTCCCGGGAGTCTCTACGAAAATATTTGAGCTCGATACGAGCAACAGGGGTGACATGGTGGATTGAGATCGATCTCGAGCGTGAGCTCAGCGCTTTTGCGCGTTCCCTGGCTTGCAGCGCTGGACCAATGCATCCTGTGGCGCCGAGTGTGGGCTCATTGCGTTCGTCTCGTCAAGACCTTTTCAGGATGCCCAAGATCGTGGAAATCGTCAAATTCAAACCAAAGTTACGTCTAATTTTAGTTTCAGATTTTGTGGTTGCGTGGGCTCGTATACATTTTAATCGGACAGTAAAGGGTTAATTTAGGCGTTTTGGGTCGGTGCCGAATATAGCCGAAATTAAATAGCTGCCGAAAATTTGTATATTTACAGTATTTGATTGTAGTCATAAAACACAGGTAGAGATCGGCTATAGAGTTGGTCTTTGAATGAGAGAAAAGTGATCACTATAAACAATTATCACTACATACGATCATCCTGGTTTGGGTGAGAGTAATAACTTTACGACGTAAGTCATGACGTCATGTATATGGGACGCCCGCCCGTGAGACCTTGAGCGTGATGTAGAGGCGACGGTTCGATACCGGAACGGCTTGACAGCCAAATTTGTATAGACCCAAACCGTTCATCAGCGTTGATTGTTCACTCGAAATATGTTTGTGGAAGGAAACTGGCATGTTGAAGTTTGCTCTGAGACCAGAGTCAATCGAACTGAGCCACTCTTTTGTGTTGACCCATTGCCTCCAATTTGCCCAATTTTTCGCTTCAAATCAGAGGTGGCTCCAAACCGGACAGGTTTTAGAGTGCACGTCAAATTCACTCTGGGTCTGAAATTAGGTAATTGCTATCGCTCCACGACGGCCAGTACAGAGTAACAATAAGTCTTGTGTGTGCTTCCATTAGTTTTGATTGGTATGCGGTGCTTTATTGGCGAGAGGCGAGCCGCTGTTTACCTACTACAAGAAGTTGATTTTTCGAAAGTCGTAAAACTCAAGTCGCAGAAAGCAACACGTCAAAAACTCACCTGCTTGGTATGGCGCTTCTGGTCATCGCAGAGCCATGAAATTTTGGCTCGGACTATAACACATCGTAGTCTCACTGTGACAAATGTTTTCGAATCAAAATACCAAGAGAGAAAGTGAATATTGAGTCCATTCCGGTTTGCAACCTGTGTCCTATTTGAAACCGTCACCTCTACAGTGCAGTACACGCACAAGCGCTACTGAAAAATACCTATTATTTTGCATTGTACTTGGTGCGAAAAGAAACATGTACGTATCGTAAGTATGGGGGAAACTTGCAGAGACTTGACTGTGACTTTGCAAGAGACCATTGTATGTATTACGATAAACGATCAGAAATGTGTGCAGTTAGTAACATTACTATAACCGCCAATGCTTTAACCGATCTCTACCTGCATACACATCTACCCCCGCTGACCGCTGGAACTCAGTTCCGGCATCGGTCCGCCTTGCTGCTTCACCAAGTCAATTTCGTATCGCAATCCTAGATTGGCTAGGGTACCCCGTAAGAAGACCATAGGTCTGTGGGGACTGCCCTAGAGAAATATGAATAAATACTAAAATACTATGCAATACCCCGTTTATCACCATTCATTTGATCAAGCCACACCGCCTTTTTTTGTAGGGGGGGGGGGGGGATTACTGGTGTTTATAATGTGGCTGTTACTCCGGAAGATACGGTACTGAGCTCTCTGATTTCTCGAAATGCTTGCCATCCATGCCTTCCACTTTCTATCTGCTTGTTAGGTCGACTTTTCATAAGCAATCTCGGAACCCTCGACACCTGTGAGCTGCAATCAGCATGTCAGGTAAGACTGTAGCAATACGCCGTGTTCCATGCGACCATGCACATGTGTACTGTGAGTGCTGGACTAGTGCTGGCACACGGACAGACGAGCACTACGAGTGCTGACCTAGCACTGGTAGATGGACAGACGTGCACCACGAGTGCTGACCTAGCACTGGTATATGGACAGACGTGCACTGGCAAGACGTGGAAGATCTACGCCGTGCAGACCCCGAGTTCAATAGATCAAATAAGGTGCAACTAGACTTGGAAGGGCATTGCACACCAGTTGCATACAAATCGTACTACAATGTGTACACGGTAGGCCCTGAGCTCTGCAGGAGCCCAAGTCACAGGTTACTGTACTGCTTTGAGGGCCTAAACCAGCAAAAACAGCCCTCAGGGCCTCAATTTTCAAAATTCCTTTTTAGTTAGAATTTTTTTGAAACACATCTACCGTAAAGTTCGCAGCAAACGCCCACTTCGCAGCAAACGCCCACTTCGCAGCAAACGCCCACTTCGCAGCAAACGCCCACTTCGCAGCAAACGCCCACTTCGCAGCAAACGCCCACTTCGCAGCAAACGCCCACTTCGCAGCAAACGCCCACTTCGCAGCAAACGCCCACTTCGCAGCAAACGCCCACTTCGCAGCAAACGCCCATCCCAGCGGGTCCATACTATTTTCGTCTTTTTCAGGTCAATATAGTTGTAGAAACCTGGCATGAAGGTCGAATGCGTACGAAAACGGCTGTAATGCCTACAAACTGCCTATGTCTTACCAGGAGGCTCTGCAAAAGCTATTGTCATCATCTTGCTGCAAAGAAATCTTCTGTCGATACTTCCTTTCATTCGATAAATGAGTCGTCTTTATGGTAGTTCGCTGTCTATGTGGTAATAGAATCTTGTTTTCATGAAATTTCTGCAGTGCCACAATGTGGCACTTTCACAATGGAATGGTGATTGTTCTGACGAAGCGTCATTCAACGACTTGACCGCTCGCAGTATTACAGTTGCAAGTCGAACAGGGTATGTCACAGAACCTAGTGGAAGCTACACCTACAAAAGAGCTGCTGACTTGTTGAAAACTCTGAAGTGCTCGAGAAAAGCCCTTGCGTTTGACTGTTGATTTGGAAATCATCAGAAGTGTATTTGGTTCCTGCAGTACTCTGTTCTTTGCTATCTTGTTATTCGGAAGAAACTCCCGTTCGGATATGCGAAATAAGGCAACCACCATCATAAAATCACTGCTAGCTACATGTAGCTCGTACCACTCGTAGCTAGTGCCCAAAGAGATTTTGAAACCAGGAAAGTGGACATAGTTTACCGTAGCAAAGCGCTCTTCCTGCTACGGTATGAGATACACGTTTGTACAGTAGAGGTGACAGTGCATGGGGTCAGTGTGTACAGGCCAGCAGATCTTGCAAAAATGGGGTGGGCGTTTGCAGCGGACTTTACGGTACATGTACTAAAGGACCTCAGCCAAGAAAAAGTTCAATATTCCGATCTAAAAGCCAATATACAATATGTACTCCCAATTGGTGCGATATATGCATAAAATGTACATTTTACCATGACTTCTCAGCATTCCAAGGTGGATGGGCTGATTGAATACCTTTGAAACAGTGCAGTGAGCAGCTAGAATGACAAAGAATAGCTGAAGAGTGCGGAGAAATGATCGACATATTCGCAGCTGCATCTAGAGTGTGATCGTCCTGCAATCTCATCTTCCATGTCTTCCTCTTCAGCTGAAGAAACGACTTCACTGCAGTCTTAGACAGAGATGTGATCTCAGAGGACGTCTCCTCGTATTCCGACTCTCACGAGTCAGCCGCCACCTTGAGCCGCTTCGCAGCAAAAGATGTGGGCTGCGATTCCGCCTCGCTGTCGACATCGATGTCGGAACCAAAGAACTTCTCATCCTGATTCTGACCTTCAGCGTCTACTTCAGCATCCACTCCTGACCAGGCTCGAGCTGTACACAATGACCGCCACACGAACTCTGCGAGCAGACCTGACGCCTGCACCCATCACCACATGGTCAAGGAGCACTTGAGTCGACACTCGACACCATTTCAACTTCAAAAATAATTTCTTGCGGCAAGGCCTTCAAGAAGTAAAGAACGCGTCGCGCTGCTCGCAGCGCTATCAAAAATCTTTGAATATCACAAATCTACCTTTTTCTCGAAGAAAATTACGAAACCTCTAAGGGTCGTTTTCGCTGATTGCGGCCCATAATTATCATCTATTGGCTCCAATTCGAAGCCGATAATAGCACCTCCTGCATTGTTGCCGATTTGAAACACAGTAAAAAGAAAAAATACAAAAAATACATACAAATCCGTTGATCCCCGAGCTGCAGAGAGTGCTCAATGTCAGAGACAGAGCTTAGTACATAGCAGACTCAGCGGAGGACGTTCAGGTTGGTTGTAACTCTGAGTTTCATGCCGTTAGGCAATCATCAGCCAACTGATACTCGGGTCTACCCAACAGTTTGCTTATAAACACATAGGGCCACAAACATAAACAAATCTAGCGCTAAATCTGGTGTGAGGTATGGCTAGAAAGCTGGCGTGGGCCAAGGCGCGACAGAAGAAGTGCTAGGAGGGTGGCGGGCACAGGCAGGTGTGAGCATGAAAGCGCGGAGAGAGGCGATGATACATACATATAAAAGCAATTGGCCTGCCTGCAGCGATTTCACAAACGTGACTTTCACTGCATCATTGGTCTTCTTACCCGAAAATGGCCAAGTGCCGAAACACGTTAAAGTAACCTGGTGGATGTGCGATGTTG